AAAAGCAGTTCAAGTGTGAACAATCAAAGAGAGTAAAGATGCTGAAGCCAGCTCATTCACTGAGAGTAGTTCATTTTGATTATTTACCGGGAACAAAGTATAGATTTAATTCAAAATCACTCCTATTTGGCCTCATGCGTATTAAGCACTCAGACTGTCTTAACTTTAACAAGCTCCTAAATCACATATGACCACAAAATGGCTTTAAAGACACTTATTAACTGAAGAAAATAATCATAAAATCCTCCCAACAATAAACGTGTTTCTGAGAGAAGCATCAGAAAGTCTTATTCTACCACATGGCTCCAGTATTGGCAAAGCCAAAACTATCTCAAATTTAGATCTACAGCACTGAAGGCAGCTTCCTCATAGGGGTATTAGTGAATCATTGCTTTAATATTTTTGTTAGGTATACAATCTGAATTTTTTTTTTTTTGGTTAGAGGGTAGAATGGGCATTCTCTAGAAAATGATATTAAAATATTATTTTACCAAAGAGTTTGCTTCTCAAGGGAAGGGTGCTATATACTTTCAGAAGTTAAAAAAAGAAAAACTCACTGGGTTGCTTTTGTAACATAGACATGAGAGAGGAAAAAAAAATTTACCCTCTTGACCTTGATATTGAGTTTACTGGATAAATGCGCACTTTAGGGGAATCAGTGTTTAATAAGTTGTGTCCACTTCATGTTAATAAGCTTGTGTCCACTCTGCTTGGATCTCAAAGATAACCTATCCACTAATTTAATCACAGTCAGCAGAGACTTTATTAATTGGTAAATATATTCTTTAATTCTGAAATATTTGAGAATTGTGTCATATGTAACTTCAAAAGCACATAAGCCCTTTGAGAATCGTGCTTATATAATTTCAAAAGCACATAAGCACTTTGATAAAACACAAGGAAGCCCAGTAAAGGCTTTCTTTGAATCTTTTCTTGACTAACATCATTTAGAGGAAGGTTTTAAATATTGCTTAGTGGGTAAACTCTTCATTCAGATTGTGGTTCTCAGACTTCTGGAGGTGCTTCCAGATTCCTCTAATAATCCAAAAGAGTTGAATCAATGAACTTTAGATCAATAATCCTGAATTGCCAGACTCATACACTGAGGTCAGAGAAGTCTGGTGACCTGCCAAGAGTCACACAACTCTTTCTGCCTGCCTGTACTGTATTTCCTGATTCTGTGAGAAACCCCCCCCCACAAAAAACTAACGAACCCCAACTCCTCACCTCTTAAAATGTATACAGGCAGATACATATGGACAGCAAGAGCATAGAGATTTGAAAATAGAGCAAAAAAAAGTAACTTGAACAGAATGTGGCATTTCCCTTGGTCTGTTGCTAACGGCCCACATACAACACGCTTTAAAAAAAACACCCCACCCTGGCACTTCTTTTCATCATTTAAAAATGCTTCAAATGGACATTTAGAATGTATGGCACTGGGGCTGTACTTCATTTGGGAAAAATGGCAAAGAGCTTTATGGAGCAAGGCTATGTTTGCAGTGGTTGCCCTGTTAAAGATGATGGGTATTTGGTCTCTTCTCTTTGGTCAGTCTTCTTTTAAAGCCAGACACAATATTTTAGTATATATTTTCAGGACTCCAAAGCAAGTAGCATGAAACATTCCTTTTTGTAAGAAAAATAATTATGGATGTGATTTTTAAAATCCCTTTAGGATTTGAAGATGTGAAAGAAATAGAAAAGGAATTACTTCATTCTCTTTTTACTTGGTGCTTTACATTTTTTGTTTATGACTCTGCAGCCCATCACACTGTTTTATAAAAAACTAGAGACTCCCGCATCTACTTGTTACCATCGGGATGTCTCTTCTCTGAATATTGTTCCAATTAAGGTTTTCACACAAATTCTAAGGGTTGGATAGCCCATATACATGTGCACACGCTACACTATAATTTAAAACTTCTCTAAACTTAGACAAGAGTCCCTAACCAGCCAATGGTCTACGGACCTGTTTTGATACTTCTGTCAGCAAACACATTTCACTGATAACTATTCTGAAAGAGTTTAAACAATTTTCATGATAACACTAAAAACTGCAAAGAGGTAATTGTGGCTAGTTGAAGTGAAACACTGGGCAGTCATGAAATATATTTGTTCACTGTTCTAGTAAGCCTAAAGTAATGGGGCTCATCTCCCCAGCTTTTCTCCGTCTCAAGTTTTTAGTCTCGAATGATACACTGAAGGGGTTATAGTTTAATCATTTCCCCAATCTAAAAAATGGAAATTACTCGATGGGGAAAAAAAATCTTTTCTTCCCAAGGATTCTAATAGTGCATTGCTAACCCTTCTCTGTGCACACCTGGACACATCACACTGTGTAATATATGTAGTTGGGCTTTGGAGAATATATTTCACTTTACATACAACCCTCCAAATCTCCTGGCGAGCTTGATGTGAAATCTGACACAGCTAAGTCTCCCCAGCAGGATCTTCCTGGGCTCTGGGTGTTAACAGCCTAAGGCTTCAAGGGTCCCTCAGGGGAGACCCGGCGAGGCTGAGTCGGAAAGAGGGGTGACTGCGGGGCTTGTTGCGCTGAAGATTTACAATGTACTTCTTGCTGGCGGCTCAGCAACCCCCTCTGTGGCTGTGGGTGTCTAGTGTGACAGAGGAGAAAAGCTCTCTAATCTCCCAGCGCCTGCCTCAGCCTCTCGCCCTCCCCTCCCTCTCGCCCTCCCTGCCTCCCCGCGCTCTCTCGCTCTCCTCCGCCTTTCTCCGGGAGTTTCGGTGCCCGAATGCAGCCAGAGTAGCCTTGGCAAACTCGACCCGGAGACTGTGCACACGCACACACGCGCACACACATGCACACGCACTCACACACCCGCACCCCGGCTCTCCCCACGGGGACACGGAGCAAGCCCGGAGCTTCATCTACCTGAAGGGGATGGTCCGGCCGGGCACTTCTTGCTCACTTGTCATCTCCCGAGGTCAGAGCAACGTGGGAAAGAGAAAGGCTCGCTGTCCGGTCCGCAACCGCTCGCCGTTTGCCGCCACCACTGCTTAAAGTGTCCAGGGCGGAGGAGAAGGCTTTTCCAGGACAGATTCCCGGCGCAGCTCTGCGGCCCTGGGACGTCGCCCGGCTGGTTCACCCCCGTCTCTTCCTCCCCGGCCATCCTCTCGTCCCCGGCTGCGGGGTGCACTGCTCAGGAGCCTCCGCTGCTGCTGCCGCCGCTGCCGCCGCCGCGAGCACATCCCGCCCGGAGGACTGAACGCCGCCGCCGGGGTGGGGAGAGAGAGCGGAAGCCCTAACTTCCCTCTCCACCGCTCCCGGTCCTTTCCAGCGGAGGACCCGTTGGAAGGCTCCCGCGGAGAGCCAGGCGAGAGCTCGGCCCGGGGGAGCGCGAGCCGGGAGCC